TTCCCAAACACAAAGGGTGTGTTTGGTTTGATTTTGGGAAATAAATTTTTAAAAAAAGTTTTGGAGAGAGGTTTTAGAAATTTTTTTTGTTTGTTTGGTTGTTTATTTTAAAGATAGTTTTGGAGTATATGAGTTTGTGATAATTTAATATTTTATTATAGTTGAGTAGATGTGTGTGAGAGAAAAAATGATTGAAAATGAGAGAGAAGAGAAAAAATGATTGATTGATGTGTAGGAGAGAGAAAGTAATTTTGAAATTTTTTTTCCAAAATCACTAAACCAAACAAAATTTTGAAAAACTCTCCACAATTACTCCCTCAAAAGCAAACCAAACAAAGCCAAAAATTTTGACCTACTAAAATAATCAAAAACTGAAATAGTCTATTAAAATAGCAATTTTTCAAATAGCCACAATATAATCTCAATAAATTAATAAATTAATAAACTAATTTTTTTTTATACTTTCCAAAAAGGCTTTTTTTTTTTTTTTACCTTAATTTTTTTTGTTGAGTTTTAGGTTTATTTTAGCAATTAAAAGTCAAATTTTTTAATTTTTTAATTTTTTCAAATCACATCATTTTTATATCGTTTTATAAAAAAAATTTTAAAAATTAAAAAATTAACTTTTAATTTACATCTCAGACGCTTAAACCTTTGAAAGCCAAATAGTAAATACTTATTCACGGACTTTTCTTAAGTGTGCAACTTAGAGCATCTCCAACCCACTAGGTATATAATGTTTGTTAGTTAAAATACCTAGTATAACTCATTTTTTTCAACTCCAATGCACTAGGCATATAATTAGACATTTTAACTCAACTCATATTCACTAGCTACATGTAGCTTGCTTTCAAGGCTAGGCAAAATGAGTTTAATCATTAGGATCATTTCCTTCCATCTTTGTTGCTGATGTGGCATTTTCTAAAATTAATAGTATTTAGATAAATAGCTAAAATAAAGAGCATGGTTGGAGTAAAAATATAAAATAGTTGATAGACAAAATAAAATATATACTTTATAGTAATATTTAGATAAGTAAAATACCTATTACCGTTGGAACAAGCACACACCATAACAGAACCCTTATCCACATATGGGAAACAGCACACACATCTTGTCATCTGCCCTACCTCTAGGCATTGCTTCTTATCTTAGCTGATTTGATTGATAAGAATCAGGATATACTATTAATATTCTTACAAAATAATTCACTAAAATAATAAAATATTTATTTCTTTAATAAAATATTTATATTTCTTTATTAAAATATACCTGTATGTTCGTTTATTTCTTTAATTTTATTTTAAAGTCGGATATATCCATAACTCAATACATAATCTTGTATAGGACAATACAACAATTTCAAAAATAAAAATTTATAAATATTCAAAATTTAATACTAATGATCTAGATTAGGGTAAATTACAAGTATATATATTAGGATTTGATTAAAATACAATCCGCCTTCTATAGTTTTAAAAATTACATTCTATCCTTTAAGATTTTTAATTTCATAACAAGTTGTCCATTTTATTAATAAATTATCAAGTCAATCAACTGTTTGTAATGATATTAGAAATATGTTTTAATTAATAATTTTAATAATTTTATTATTATATAGGAGAGCAATTATGAATTTAATTTTTTAGTTAATTCTGTTAAATAAAAAATTCTAACAAAGGAATATTTATAATTTTTTAAATCACAGAAAATAATTTATATTTTAAGTAAATCTCAATGGTGTATTTGTAATTTATTCACTTCCTTAAGGTATGGGTCAATAACAACTTCAAATGCAAACTATATATTTGATATTCTAATTTATTTTTCAATTTACTTTATGGGACCAATAATCATATTGCTCCTTATGTGGGCTAAGAAATCAACACATTTAGGCCTCATTTAAAAACATGCTATTTTAGTAATTTTTTGACTTTTTGATTGAAATATGAGGTAAAAAAATTAGTATGTTTAGGGTGATTTTTTAATTTTTTACGAAAAGATGTACAAAAAATAGAGAGAAAAGAAAATCTTTGACTTTTTGATATAGATTATAAACTTTTTAATTTTTTAATAACTTTTTAACTTTTTAGACTCGCATGCCAAACGAGACCTTATTATTTGTTGACCACTCACACAACTGGAGTAATTAGTAATGCTAAGAAACCATTTTTTTATCAAATAAATAATCAAATGTCCTACATGAATGTGGATTCCTACATTTATAAGGAGGGAATCGGGGATGCTGCTGCGCGGGCTGTGCAGCAAAATAGGCTAATTTTCGAGCCCATTTCGATAATCCGAATCGTTCATATTTTAGAATACATCAAATAGAACATACTTACAAAAAATCAAGTTAATCGGATATTATTTAGAAATTTTAGTTCAAAGCAGAGAAATTTCAGTTCTAACTTGTGATGCAACTTTAATATTGATTAAGTTTACCTTCTTTTCTAACCATGCAGCCAGAGAAATTTTGAATTTCTCTGGAGAGAAGGGTGATATTGCTTCGTCGGCATGCTAGCTACTCGGATCATCCACCAACTGGTCTGTTCATATAAAGGAGGAAAGAGAAAATAAGAAAAACTAGCAGCCCGCCAAGAATACATCCAACCATAATCAAGGTAATCTTCTTTGATGATTTTGGGTTATGTTTCTTTGGTGGCAAACTAGCCACAATCTTTTTTTGGGGATTAGGCCTAGCAAGGTTTCCATCATAGTTGCTCAATTTGAAGATCTCAGCTCCATTTAAAATGACGTTATAGTACTGAAATTTTGTTTTCGTGTTTGGGTGTAGCTCTAGCCACAGGTCTTGCTTCTCCCCATTGTTTACTATTGGAGCCAAAACAACATAGTCTCGATACACTGGAACTGCGTACCCGTTGCTCCAAGCAATAACATCAGCTTTAACTTCGGTTGTTTCATTGTTGATGATTATGTCAAACACCCTCTCGTTTACATTTTTCATCCACCAATTCACCTCGCAAAAATGCAGCTAAACAAGGTAGAAGAAACCAGAATCAATGGGGAAAAACCAGCTCAGATTGTAAAGCACATTGACGTTGGAATATAGCCCCATGGCTCTAGCTGTCTTGTAGACCATCTCAGGTGCAGTGTATAGCAAGGAAGTGAGTTGAGGTAGGGGAATTCTTATGTTAAAAAAAAAAAGGGCAAAGAAATTTACAGTGAGAAGTTTAGGGAAGTCTAAAGAAATTTTCAAAATTGCTCTGGAAAGTCCAGAAAAATTCTGACCAATTTTCTTTGACTTGAATTTTCTCTGGACCAATTTTCTCTGAATTGATATTAAGGGACCTTAGACATCATAAAAATATTTGATATCTTTTATATTATAAAATTATAATATCAGGAACCTTAAAAAAAATACCCCTTTAATTTACATCTCAGACGCTTAAACCTTTGAAAGCCTAATAGTAGATACTTATCCACGTATGGGAAACAGCACACACATCTTGTCATCTGCCCTACCTTTAGGCATTGCTTCTTATCTTAGCTGATTTGATTGATAAGAATCAGGGTATACTATTTAACAATGATTCATCCCACTAAAAACATCACCACTAATAGCATTAATACATTAAAAAAGTAAAAAGTAAAAAAAAAAAAAAAAAATACAACTCCAAGACCAAAACATCACATCATTAATAGCGAAATCCACTGCCACCTAATTAGTGGGAGCACTAATTAGTGCTCCCAAGCATTGTTGTATATTATTAATATTCTTACAAAATAATTCACTAAAATAATAAAATATTTATTTCTTTATTTCTTTAATAAGATATTTATATTTCTTTATTAAAATATACCTGTACGTTCGTTTATTTCTTTAATTTTATTTTACAACAATGATAGAGATCACTAATTTTGAAACTCTAAAAAGACCACTAATGACATGACACTCAATAAAAAAAAAAAATACAACACCAAGGTCAAAACATCAAATCATTCCTGGTGCGGCCTACTGCCACATCATTAATGATAGCACTAATTAGTGCTCTCACTCATTTTCCTTTATTTTAAAGTCGGATATATCCATAACTCAATACATAATCTTGTATAGGACAATACAACAATTTCAAAAATAAAAATTTATAAATATTCAAAATTTAATACTAATGATCTAGATTAGGGTAAATTACAAATATATATATTGAGATTTGATTAAAATACAATTCTCCTTCTATAGTTTTAAAAATTACATTCCATCCTTTAAGATTTTTAATTTCATAAAAAGTTGTCTATTTTATTAATAAATTATCAAGTCAATCAACTTTTTGTAATGATATTAGAAATATGTTTTAATTAATAATTTTATTATTATATAGAAGAGCAATTATGAATTTAATTTTTTAGTTAATTCTGTTAAATAAAAAATTCTAACAAATGGATATTTGTAATTTTTTAAATCACAGAAAATAATTTATATTTTAAGTAAATTTCAAGAGTATATTTGTAATTTATCCACTTCCTTAAGGTATGGGTCAATAACAACTTCAAATGTATACTATAAATTTGATATTCTAATTTATTTTTCAATTTACTTTATGGGACCAATAATCATATTGTTCCTTATGTGGGCTAACAAATCAACACATTTAGGCCTCATTTGAGAACATATTATTTTAATAATTTTTTGACTTTTTGATTGAAATATAAGGTAAAAAAATTAGTATGTTTGGGGTGACTTTTTGATTTTTTAAGAAAAGATGTGCAAAAAGTAGAGAGAAAAGAAAATCTTTAACTTTTTGATATAGATTATAGACTTTTTAATTTTTTTAATAATTTTTTGACTCTTTGACTAAAATATTAACTTGCCAAACAAAACCTAGTCTCCTAATAGCCGTGTTTGATTTTATAGAATTTCTCAGCCAAAATATTATACGACGTCGTTTTGGGGGGCCGCCGGGTAGGGCCGCCGGGTAGGACGGCCGAGGATCCGGATTCATAGTCCCCCCCCTCTTTTTTTTTCTATAAAATGATATCACTCCATAATTTCCTCAAACTCTCATAACTTCACCCATCAATCTTGAAAAGAGTGAGAGATATGGAAGCTTCATTTCTTTTCCATGCACAAACAACTCTCTTCACTCTCTTATTGTTCACCACCACATACATCAACTCATGCTCAACCACCAAACCAAACACAGCCTTCATTAAAAAGTCATGTAACACTACATTGTACCCACACTTATGCTACAAATCCCTCTCAATCTATGCAAACAAAATCCAAAAAAGCCCTAAGCGGTTAGCCACCACTGCCCTCTCCATCACCCTCTCAGCATCCAAATCAACCACCGCCGCCATGAAAAAACTGTCGAAAGATCAAGGATTGAAGCCAAGGGAGGTTACAGCCATGGCTGATTGTGTTGAAGTATTGGGCGACTCAGTGTACGAGCTCCAGAGGTCCATGAAAGAGATGGCTCGTGTCGAAGGAGGAGGAGGTTCCTCCTCCGACTTTGAGTTTCAAATGAGTAATATTGAGACGTGGGTTAGCGCGGCGTTGACCGACGATGATACGTGTACGGAGGGGTTCGCCGGAAAGGCCATGAATGGGGTGGTTAAGACCATGGTTCGCAGCTACATTGTGAAAGTGGCTCAGTTGACTAGTAATGCTTTGGCTATTGTTAATAATTATGCTGCTACACATAATAACCCCCATGCAACGTCACCTTAGCTGATAAAAAGACTGTACTAGTTAGAGTGAGTAATGAATCCGTAAAGTCTGTAATTTGATCCAGTTCAGTTTAATTCAGTAGATTTGGATTGATTTTTTGAATTCGTGATTCGATTTCGGATTGAAAAATTAAAAATCTGTAGTCAACGGATCAGTTATAGATTGAACCCTATGATTCCGGATTGGAACCGATTCGTACCATATATAAATAGTTTATATTTATATTATACACCATCTTGCATAGTATCCCCAAACCTAAATCCATGTAGTATTTTCTTTTATTGCTTTTGTTTGTTGATTTTTAGTTTTAATTGTAATGGTTCAAATATTTATAGTTGTTTAAATTCTAGAACATTTTGTCACTATTATGGAAAAACATGTTGTTCTGGAATTAATATGATGCTATGTTATGTTTTATGAAATTAAAATGTTCTATATATATATATGTATATATTTTGTTATTTAATTATGTAAATCCGTGATCCTAAACTGATCCAATCTATGTTTAATTAAATTGATTCGAATTGATTCCACGATTTAAACAGATTGGATTGGTTCTAATTTTTCAGGAATAATAGATAACACATTAGTCATAGTTTTATTCCAATCCGAATCATGCTCACCCCTAGGACTATTTGGGCTCGTCAGATTCCTTACGAGCTCTATTTTAGTGATTTAATGTGTTTATTTTTGTTGTTCTTTGTGCGTAAGATTAATCACCAAAAATATCAAATTGATATGATAATTATAAATATATAATTTTATTAGATTTGTCTTTAAAAAAATTGGTTGACAAGTATAAATTAAAAATATATCTTTAATTTTTTTTAAAAAACAAATATGATAAAATTATGTAACTCTATTATCTTCTTCTTCTTCTTCTACTTTTTTTTTTTTTTTTAAAAAAATACTACAATATGTAAACGTTTTGGTTCATTTAGGCTAGGGGATATTTAAAAAAATTTAAAAAGAGATTGCAAAAACAACTTATAAACTTGTGTAAAAAAATCCAAGATAAATGGTATTGCTGTCATATAGGCCCCGTTTGTTTCCAGAGATAGAATGGAGAGGATTGATAGTGAGGGGATTAATAGTGAGGGGATTGTTAGTGAGGGGATTGATAGTGAGGGGATTAGTAGTGAGGGGATTGATAGTGAGGGGATTAGTAGTGAGGGGATTGATAGTGAGGGGATTAGTAGTGAGGGGATTGATAGTGAGGGGATTAGTAGTGAGGGGATTGATAGTGAGGGGATTAGTAGTGAGGGGATTGATAGTGAGGGGATTAGTAGTGAGGGGATTGATAGTGAGGGGATTAGTAGTGAGGAATTATTAAATTATTTTTATATAAAATAATAAAATAAATAAAAAAATATAAAAAATTAAAAATTATATTTTAAAAAAAATTTCCCATATATAAAAAATAAAAAAAATAAAAAAATTTCTAATCCCCTCACTATTTTTCTAATACCATCTCTACCTCCTCCTTACCAATCCCCTCTCCAAGGGTATTAGTAATACCAAGGGACTAATAGTTCCAAGGCCTTCTCCCAAAACAAACAAGGCTATTACTAACACCTTGGTATTAACAATCCCAATACCCTCTCTTTCACCCAAAATAAACGGGGCCATAGTGCATTATGTAATTTTTTTGAAAAGGAAAAAAGAAAACGTTTTTAGATTTAATAATGATAGAGCGTTTTAATATTTGAACTCTACACATATGGTAAGAGAAAAAAAAATAAACAAACAAACAAATATACAGGTATACACATTACATCATAAGCAGGCCCCACTTATTTAAAACTCTTTTAGAATTCTCTTTCTAAAGCTCTCAATCATTTTTCTTTTAAGATTCGTTTGTTTTCATAAGTAGAATGGAGGGAATTGATAATGAAAGAATTAATAGTGAGGGAATTAATAGTGAGAGGATTGTTAGTGATGGGATTGATAGTGAGAGGATTAAGTAAAATTGTGTTTGTTTTGATAACAATGGTAAGTGTAGGGATTGTTAAATTATTACGTATAAAAGAAATATAAAATATTAAAACAAATAAAATTATAATTTCTCCTTAACAAAAGATACAAAAACATTACATTTGGCAACATCACTTTTTAAGCTAAAAGTCACTAAAAAATTAAAAAGCCAATAACCTATACAAAAAAGTCAAAAATTCTGGCCTTGTTCAGTTTAACTCTCAAAACACAATTTTTGGAAAAAATTTCCAAAATTTTGTTTGGTTGGAAATTTTTTGAAAAAAATTTCTAAAATTATTTTTCTCTCATACACATCAATCAATTACTTTTTCTCTCTCCTATTTCCTTTTCAATTAGTTTTTTTTTCCACGCACATCTACTCAACTACAACAAAATATCAAAGCATCCAAAACTCTCATACTCTAAAATTATTTCCAAAATATACAACTAAACAAGCAGAAATTCTAAACTCTTTCCTAAGTCTATTTTTTAAATTTCATACTTCCAAACCAACAACACACCCTCCTAATTTTCCATTTATTTTTTTGTATATTTTTCGTTAAAAAAATTAAAAAGTCTACCCAAACATAACTAATTTTCTTTATATAATATATTTTAGTCTAAAAAATTAAAAAAATTATTAAAAAATATGTTCCCAACGGGCCTAAACATTAATATTAAAAAAAAAAACCCAAAAAAGAAAAATTTAAAAAAAAAAAAAAAAAAAAATGCTAAACTGAACGACTAACTTCTAATACCAACTCTCTCACCTCTATCTCAATCTCTTCTTCATAACCCATCTTAATCTGAAAACTCATCTCATTTCCCAAAAACAAATATGGCCTAGTTTGGGAAGACTAAATAAGTGTACTTTTTGACTTTTTATGAAATATGGGTTGGATTTGGGTTGAGTTTGAAGTGATGTATTAGAGAGGTGAAGTGACTTAAATAAGATGATGTGACTTAAATAGGATAGTGACTTTTTGACTTTTTGTCTTTTTTCAATCTTTCCAAACTAGGTCATAATATTAATGAATTTCACTATCATCTCAATCTCAATCTCAATCTAAATCCCAATAAATAAGCGGGCCCTAGATTATAACATTTCTTGTGATCATGTTGGATCGCTTTCAATCCTGCATATGTGTGCGCGTCAGTTTTTTGGACTAGTGCTTGGTCTTTTCACCCAAAAATACAATTAGAAGGTTGTGTGGACTATCATTCCATGTATTGAGCATGGGGTTAAAAGTTCCATTTTAACTTTTAATTTATTTTAAGTTTCAAATTTTTTTATCTTTCAATATATATTTTTTTTGAAAAAATCAAACAGGAAATTAATAAAAAAATTAACTTTTCAAAACAACCCTTAAAGTTGTGGAACGTGCATATTTTAATGGTTGGTTTGAGATACACTATATAAATATATTTTTTTATCTTTTTTAAGTTATATTATCTCTTTATTCTTTACATATTTTTTCATAAAAAATTTAAAAAGTATATTTACTTTAATTATTCCAAACCTTAAAAATATCTCTATTGGGTTTTTATTTAATTATTTAGTGGGAAAATTGTGTTTAGTTTGCCTTTAGAATCATGATTCTATCACTTTTTAAAATTCATAACTAAATACACAATTCAAAATTACTTAAACTCAATTCAAAAATTAATCTCAAAACTTATAATCAAACACACAATTCAAAACTCAATTCAAAATTTTTTCAAAATTCAAAACCAAACCCTTTTCAAAATTCTATTTTAAAAGAAAAAAAATTCAAAAAATATTTTTTTATTTTGTTTTTTTAAATTATTTTTAGAATCATAATTTAAGTATGGAGTAGTGTTTTGAGTTAGGAGTTTTGAATTGAGTTTTGAAAAGAGAAAATTTGTTTGGTTATAAGTTTTAAAAAGAGTTTTGAAGCTCCGTTTGGAAAGTTGGTTTGTGGGTTTTTTTGGCTAAAATAGCCACAAAAAATAAATAGGCTTTTTAGTCTAATAAGACAAAACATCACATTCAACCCATAATCATTACATTTTTTTTCTTACAAAAAAGTAAAAAAAACCAAAAAAGTCAAAAGCTCTTCCCAAACTAAGCTTTTTAATCCCAGGCTAAAATAGCCAAATTCCCTAAATTTTTTTTGAAAATTCATCTTCCAAAACCAAACCAAACACACCCTCTATTTTCCCTTTATTTTTTGTATATTTTTTCGTAAAAAATTAAAATGTCATCCCAAACATACTAATTTTTTTACATAATATTTTATTCAAAAAATTAAAAAATTACTAAAAAAATATGTTCCCAAACAAGGTCTAAATATTAATATTAAAAAGAAAATACCTAACATATAAAAGTAAAAAAAAAACAAAAAAAAAAAATGCTAAACTGAAAACTTCTAATACCAACTCTCTAACCTCAATCTCAATCTCTTCTTCATAACCCAACTTAATCCGAAAACTCATCTCATTTCCCAAAAACAAATATAATATTAATAAATTTCACTATCATCTCAATTTCAATCTCAATCTCTCCTCCATGTTCCAAAATAAGCGGGCCCTAGATTATAACATTTCTTGTGATCATGTTGGATCACTTTCAATCCTGCATCTGTGTGTGCGTCAGTTTTTTGGACTAGTGCTTGGTCTTTTCGCCCAAAAATACAATTAGAAGGTTGTGTGGACTATCATTTAGGGGTGTTTGTGGATCGGTTTTGTGCAGTTTACGGTTTGGTTTTGACCCGTCCGTATCTATGCGGTTTAGGAAAAAATCAACCCGCAACCGCCCACAGTGCGGTTTGCGGTTTGTGCGGATGGGGTTTACAAATGTGCGGGCGGTTGCGGGTGGTTTGCGGTTTACACTTTTTTCTTTAAAAATTAATTTTCGAGTTTTTTTTTTCCAGCGAATTTAGGCATTAGATTCATTTTATATATTTGTGATAACAATTTTTTGATGAGTTTACAAATAAAAATTGAATATCAATGCATTAAATGAAAGTACCCAAAACAAAGAGATCCTACACTAGCATTTTTGCCATGAAAAAAACGTATATCAATGCATTAAAGGTTGTACTCAATTAGAATTGCCAGTTCAGTAATTAATAATCAAACTATAAGTTCCATCGACCATTAGAAGGAAAATTTTATTAGGAAAAAGTGAATGAATCACCAATGAAAATCATATAAGAAACCAAGTTTAAGACTTAATAATTCTACGGCATTTAGAAAGTTGAGAAATACTTTAAAATAAGGATCCTAGTGT